AATGCCACGACAGGAGGAGGAGAAGGAAAAAGGAAACAACAGTCCGCAGCAGACCACAAACGGCGAGGAGGATGATGATAAAGTTGCCCAGAAGTTGCAGGAGGTGAGTTCTAACGACGAGGAGCCAGCGGCGGTGGCGGCGGCGGTACACAATGCCTGTTGTCAACAGGGGATCGCGGTGAGCACTTTGATTAATTGCATTTCGGCTTGCCCTTCTGAAGCCGTGTTTGCCGGACGGCCGCGTGCCAGCACGGACTTGCAAGGCAGCAGCAGCCGCTGGTAGACTGCAATTTAGGCGATAAGGCCTATTAAACGAATATCTCTATGCATAAATCAAGGTAACTGTGACAAAGAAGCAAAATAGTGGGATCTAAGCGATCTAAACGGTAGGACGCGTTTTGTTCATTTATTTTATGTGTGTACAGGTGGTAGCTTCCTGACCTTGCTGCAGATAATAAGTCAGATGTGTAATCTCGTTAGATCAGGCAGCATCTAATTTTTTTAAATTTTATTGACCAATATAACTGCTAGCTAACAGTCTTTTTGTAAAAAAGGCCAAGTGAGCGGACAAGTTTTTGAGTTAGTATAACCGCAGAAGAGTAGGTTAGACCGCTGATACCTTAAATTCGCTTTTACGCTTCTTTTAGACATGAATGCTTTAGGCACTTAATGTAGATGTAGACTCCAACGAGTAGACGGAACGCAAGCTCTGTTATGATAATACAGTATAACAGATGATGATTTCAGAAGAGGAAATTACAGGTGGAAAAGCCCAAACTTTATGGTATTGTTTGAAAAAGTACATTTGCAAAGGAGTTAAAACAACAGGATATTTAATCCTAAAATGTACCCAACTACATCCATATTGTTGTAATATCCGTGAAACATGAAGATTCTTCATTTTTTATGTATTTCTTATTATTACTAAGTACATTTAACTGATTGAGCTGTTTTTTTAAAAAGACAACTGTCTTTGCATATGCTTATGTGGCGTGCAATCCTGATGCACTGAATATCGGCTTGCATAGTCTCATAAGTGCCTGCAACCCAGTAAACCGTCAAAATGTTTCCCTATTGATGAGGATCTTTTATTGTTAAACATCACTTGTTAATTTTTATTCATTTAAATGTGAAAGCTTATCCTTACATATGTACGTCTTGGCGATTTTTGCCTATGAAGATAAAAAGTGGAGTGAAATAAAAAAACTGCAAATAACTCAAAAGCAAAAGAGCAGCAGGTTCCGGTGCTTGATAACGATGTAAAATTTAAAATTTACAGTTCTGTAAACCTAATAGGCATCAGAGCCGAGAAGTCTATAGAGTTGCATGAACACTTACGTAAGCATAAATAGTTAACTTCTAGCCTTTTGCGGTCAATCTTCATTTCCATCGCAAATGCTAAGTAGAAAGCCAAAGCCACGGTTTATTTGGAAAGTATATAATAAATTTTAATAATTCACCGAATGTTTATTGACACCTTAATTACCTTGCTTATAGTTCGAATTGTTGGAGCATAACTTATGGAGAATGGGTGCACAATCATAAATACGAGGGCTTTTTGTAATTGACGCATTTAGGTTTCAATGAGATAATGCGATTGCTTTTATCTGGAAATGATGGCTAAAAACTGGCATTTACTTTAACACGGTTCACCGAAAAAGTGAAATTAGCGGCATTGCCATTTTCTTGCGGTTAATTAGCCACATTAATTAGTATATATTTTGATGTTTCAAGCGGAACCCTTAAACACATTTGACTAGAATGGACATGCATAAGATAGTAAATGACAGCGGGGATAATTTGCTGAATATGAACCATCAGACTTACTGTGTCTTCGCCGACTGCTTAAACCAGCTAGCTAATCAAATGCACAACAGATACCATTATTGTTAGCCGAACTCTAAGTCTCGGTTATCAGGAAGTAGGCCTCAACACCTCGTGAGGGCTATTAATATTCGAATTGATTATGCGAAATAAATCGTCTCCTTTATGAAATTAAGTGCTCTGCTATGTTCACCTTTCTATCTGGATCGGTTGACGTAATGGAGCCTCATGCACCTTTGGTACATTTCTAAAGCAGAATATTGCTTCTACAAAGCGTGTTGTCGCTAAATGACCCGTGATGATAGTATTCGCTTCGACTTATAAATAAAAATATACACATTCCTTAAATAATTTGAAGAAGAATCAAATAGCATGAAAATTTGACAGGTTCATTTCTTGTAGGCTTTTTGGCGCATATCGAAACAAAACTTAGTAGGCTGGGTAACGATAATGATAAAAGTCCAACACAGAATACTTACGAGCAGTTTAAACTCAAAATAGTTTTTTTCAAAACCACTAACTATAAACTAGTCTAAGTGGTCAAAACGAGACAGTTATTTTTCACAGAAATATTAATTACAACGTCTCTTTTAGAGAATCACTCACATGGGCAGATTTTTATTCAGAGGTGCTGTTTAAGAAGCCTGTTTGGTTGTGTTCTAGAAGGTGTTTGTGATTGCTGTGTTACAATTTCTAGTTCGCACTTTTGCACAGACACATTCTTTGCGTTCAGCTAGTTCAGGAGCTTCCCGAATGACTCTAATTCAGCTTTTCTGCCACTTAAAATCTAAAAGCTAATTGAAGAACGTTTCTTTGTAATAAAGCTAAATAAAAAGACTACAATTCAATTAATACTCTGCTCAATTGAGAGCTAAATAGGTGGAGATATATTTCAAAAGACGCAACCCTTCTATTTATCAAAAAAGAAGCAAGCACTCGAGGCGTCTTCTATCTGCAATCTGGGCATTTGCATTTGGTAGCAGCCAAATATTATTATCGCTTTAAGAAGGAAAGTTAGGTGAACGCCTTTGAGCCCCCTAATGCATGATATTTTCTGGAAGTTATGTTATATTCAGAATTATCTTTTGGAGCATTTTGGCTTACTGAAAACCATCAAAATAAAGTATGCGTCATATAAGTAGATACATCTTCTTGTAGGTTTTTCTTGGTTGCCTGACATAGCATAGTAAATGACCATCAAATTGTACTTCACTGTCACCTTCTCGTGTCAGTTCGCATGTTTAACCTTTAGGATAATAGTGAAGTCTTATTAAGACGCAAAAATGGTCGAATTGCGTTTATTTGCATTCCATATTGAAGATCCATCTGTGAAATATTATTTTAGACCCTGTGCGTAAAATGTGCTATCTCGTATCTTTGAGATGCATAAGATAGGACGAAACGCATTGTTGCGGTAAGGGAAAAACAGGTATTAAAGTTAACTGAGGGAACTAGAGGACACTGGAAACCCAGTTAGTCACAAAGCATTCCCAATAATTTTCTTCTTCAACGTTAAACGGAGGAATAATATGGTCATAAAAAACATTTACTGACAATTCTGAAAAGCCTCAAAGTTAACAAAACTCGAGTTGCTATTTGAATATAGTTTGCCAGTTAAAAAAAACTGGTGAGGTTGTCTCTAGCGGTCTTTTTGGGTCCTTATGTATTATAGCTACC